GATGTAAAGGCCTGGACTTATCATCACTTATTAATCCCACATCAATTAAATAAGAAGCACTACTAAACTGGAATAGAAAAAAATTTCAAGTCATTGCGTTGCTATTCATCACTACGATACTCCACTAGTTTTATTTGCATTCTGTAAATTCATGAAGAATTGAGGAAAAGGGAAAACCAATTTTCCTAGTGCAATTCTCAAGACGAGGAAGCAGAGGCTACGACCTAATACATCAAAGTACAAATGCACTTAATTGGTTTCGATCATAGCTTTCCAAAATACTTGGGGTTTTATTCAGCTTTAAAAGCAACACATGTAGGAATAAACTTGTTCCATGTTTCTGTCTATACATATAAAAGGCACAAGTGCTTCTGCCTATACATAAACCCCAGCACGTTTAAAGTGGTTTCATTTCAACAAGTTTTTCTGCATTTTAATTGCATCCCAGGAAATTCTGTGACACAAGTTAGATTAAAAAAAAAAAAAATAAATCAACCAGTTAATAAGAAAGTACCATTTAGTTTTTGTACTTTACCATGGAAAACGGTAAGCCTGATTACAAGGATATTAAGTTTTGTAGCTCCTTAAATATATATTCTCCTGGTTATCGCATGCCATCGGTTCCAAATTTAGGCCAGCTCTTGGTTTTGGTTGCAGTCAACGTGTCTTAAGGAGTCTCATCCAGTAAGAATCAAGCACTCAAGGCAAAAAAAAAAAACAAACCTATAAATGCAAAACTGATTGAAAATGATTTACGATTGCAATCACCATGGTACGTGTCAAGATTATTTAGTCCCATGAGCCATAGTAAGCACGATCCTAGACAAAAGTTTTTAAAAATTTTTAATTTTTTCCATTTTTTTAAATTAAGAGAACAAATCAGAGGGTCAATTGGATAAAACTGTCCATGGGAGAGACACCTTTCTCAACTCAAAGACTCTTCTGTCAAAGTCCTTGATATCATTTACCTTTTTTATCCAGCATTCCCTTACGCGGTTATTTACCAGCTTGGTTCAATATTAACTCCCTATAAGCGAAGATCCAGCACGAATGACATGAAACGCTCGTTTTCCCTTCCTCCTCGTGGGCACTATGAAAGGGAACATGTGCTCTCACAGATGGAAGTCACTGCCTCCTGAAATAACACACAGCTAAACACCGAACTAAACACTCACGGGTAAGAGCGCTTTGAGCATTGATTTGAACAGATCATTATTTCGATCAGCGCCACTTCAAAAGCGGAGTTAAGGAGAACAACAACAAAAAAACCACCACCAAAAAAAAGGCATTTTTAACCAACAAAACAGCAAAGTAACAGGAACAAAAAGCATTTTAAAAAGCAACTTGGTTTTGTCTCAACTTTTTAGATGCATGCGTGGGTTCCCGACGGGCACAAAACCCAACTCCCCCGGGACAACGTACGTCGCTGTCTTTCTTCTTCCATCAGCGTGGTCGGGCAGTTCATCAGCCCTGCTCCTGCCAGACTCGTACAACATTCCTTTCTCCCTCTCAGATGCCATCTTTCCCGTCCTCCAAACCCCTCCTCCGTGCACAGGGCAATAGGATTCAGTTTGATTTCTGAGCAGCAAGGCCAAATTTAACAGACATTTCTTTTTCATCTCTGCTGAAGACATCAACCACATCATAGCAGATTATCGCAAACATTAAGTTCTGTGTTTTGTCCAGACCAGCCCAAGGAGGTAACTTTGCTCACCCAATACATATTCATCAACTGCTTCTCCTGTTCCTTACGGCTCCCGCTACGTCCAAGGGAGTAGAGAGCAATGGGTGTGAAAGCACGAACCGAGCCCGCGTCCTGAGCAGAACAGATTAAGGCTGCGGGAAGATCATGATTCCTTTCTCCTATATCAGGTAATTAAATTTGTTTTACCTCAGTTTTATTTCCTTGTTTTCAGAAGCTGAAATATCAGAGAAGTTGAACATTTGGAAGAACGTAAGTTAGCACTGGAAAGCGGCAATTTTGCTGTATTTTGGAGGAGTATTACATTAAACCACCTGTCAGAAACACTTACTGGTATCTAGGGCTATTGCCAGTTGCATGCTGATGAAAGACACGGGGAACACTAGCCAGGGAGAGAAAAAATAAGTAAACGTACAGCAGAAAATAGTCATCTTTTGAGGCAACTCCTAGAGTTGAACATTTTGTCCCCAAAATGCTTTGGAAACACCACAAACTCATTCAAGAGAGGAGACGGGAACTCGCTGAGCACCTGGGACACCAGGGCATTAACGCTTTTCCAGCTCACAAGTCGGCGTGAACTTTTTGCAGAAGAAAGGTGGAAGGGTACAGTAAGTGACCGTAATCCACGGTTATACCTCCTCGTGAGAAGGAAAGAAAACGCAATGGTAGGATAGGGGATTAAAATAATGAGCCCATTTGTGAGAATCTGCCTGAGGGAAAATAGTTTACAAAATTAAAAACTCCATAGTAACAGACTGAAAGCTGTTAACCAACATCTAATTAATCACAAACTGCAACCCCCATAACTAAACAGTAAAAGGAATTAGAGGTAAGAGAGAAAAAAAAAAATCATGCAGCAACCAAGCTTACCCAGACCAAAACAAGTACTATGGGAAAAAAAAAAAAAAATAATCACCATAGTGATGATACCTGAACAGAAAAAAAACCCTTTTGACGAAACTATCAGGACTTTACTGTGAATATCCAAAAGCAAGGTTATGTTGTATACTATCAGGTTTTGGTTTTTAGTATCTAGCAGAAGGCAAGCTCTAGGATCCCAGCCTCAACCTAAGTTTATAAAAAAAACCCAAGCAACAAAACCCTGTCAGCAACAAGCAGTCATTAGGTTGTGGTGAACACAATCACACTGCATGCTGGCACAAGCAACGCTCAGCCATTTTAGAAGCCCAGGTTAGTCTTTGGCTATAGTTTGCAATTACTGCGGCTGTCAGAGGGCACGGTCACTGCAAGCTTGCCCGATTTCTGTTGCTCTCGCTTTACTCCAGCCTTTAAATCTGCCAGTGCAGATTCCGTGCCTGGCCAGAAGGTCCCGCAGAGCTGCCGCAGCTGCATGTTTCCTGTCCCTAGGGCTACACAAGTACCACAGGGCTTTCACGAGCCACAGACCTGCTCGTTTGAACAGTGAGGAACCAAATGTTTTAAGAACAGCAACTTTTAAATAATTAAGAAAGGGTCTCTGATCTTTCCCTGATTATTGTAATACTAATTGAAACATTAGACACCTGTGTCTCAGTCTCGTTTGCCCGTCAACAAGTTCCCTTTTAAGCCTGCCATAACTGTCCCATATACTTAGACCTCTCCTTAAAAGAAAGTGTTCACTTGGACATGGTTTTTCTGGGCCTATTTGAGGCTTTTTTTGCTTCTTCCCCACACTTTGAAAGTCATATAATCACAAAGTAAATTGCAGAGGAAGAAAAGTCAACATGCTGTAAATACTGAAATAGCCCCATATCCAACAGACCAACCTCCCTCTAGGGACATCTATGGAACGGGATCCCCTCCTGGTGCAGGCTGGAGAGCTGAGCAATCAGGTGATCAGAGGAGAGCAGAGAAAAACAGCAGTTGGGCTGCTGGACGGTCTGCAGCGAGTCACCTGGAAATGTCAAAACCAAACATGAAATAAAAAAAGGCAAGCCAGTGCAACTGCTTTACGAGGAGATGTCTTTTTATTAAATAGAAGGTTGCAAGTCTTGAATCTTGAAAGATTCCTAAGAGTACATGAAGATGGGCAAAACAAAAAGAAACCCCAAAAGGACTCGATAATCCATGGGCCCAAACCTTTATTTAATATAAAATAAGTTTTGCAAAAAGCAGATGGACACAGCTGACACTTACGGAAACTGATTTTGCACATCCTCCTATGCTGTGTGTTATCTGAACCTGAAATATATTCCAATACGATGCAGAGTAGAGACCTCAGCTTGGATCTCAACGTACCACAGCAAAAGACCAAAAAAGAACCCCCAAAACCCAACCACCCCATACATACAAAAAGGTGGGAATCCAGAATTATATAGCACTCACCAAGATCTCTTTATTGAGAAAGTTCAAAGTTCATTCAGGGTCTTTTGCTTATTAAATTGTCATCATAACACTGACAGGGTACAAGAGGAGGTATTTTAGATTAGAGGTTAGGATAACAGCTGATACAGGCTCACGGAAGAAAAATACTTTTTCATTTTCAAAACAGTTTTGATTACTTGCAGAGTTGATATTTATCACAATAATTCTACTCTGGAACTTACTACACTAGTAGGTCACTTGAAAGTAACCTTCTATAATAAAAACTGTGATGGGTTTGACCAATATTTTCAAAGTGAAAGTCAACATTTTGACCCAAAGAACCCGACTGCTCCGTTTCAGTCTAACAGGTTGGTCCGAGGGAAAAATCTGGCTGCATGATGAAGTATGAAAGCCACATGGCTAACAGAACTACCTATCATCAGTCTGGAAGTGTTTAAACCACCTCAGATCTTCCTGTTCAAGCAACACAGGAAACTCCAAAACATACAATTAGGATGAGAAGAAAAAGATTAAGACAAGAAAATCTGGCAATTGGTTTAAGGGATTAAAAAAAAAAAGAATCAAATGCTTCCTCCGAGTAGCTACAGAGTCTTAAACATGGCCTCCAACTCATAAACACAAAAGAAACATTATTAGCATGCAGAGAATTTAACTTTCAAGTAGTGACCTGAAAAAGTGATTAAAACCACCTGTGACCACAGGCACACCGATTGCCTGCTTGGTTTGCATTTGTAATATACCAAAAGACAGTAGTTCCTCTCAAGTTTTCAAAAGAAAACCCAAATACTTCAAGGCCATTCGATATCGCCACTCCTAATTTAGGATAGATGTCTGAAAACACCACTTCTTGGTCCTCACTGCTGCCTTTTAGAAAATAAGAGAGCTGGATAGGAATGTCCACACAGAGAATCCTTCTGCATCTCAAAATACTTCTGCCTTCCGTATCTTGGGTAAGCAGAATACGGAAAGCTCGTTAGCAGATGACGTAACGGACAAGTCTTGAGCCACGAACTTCTCTCACCCTCTGGCAGTGGCGCAGGATATTGAGGATGCTATGGAAGCGCTTATCCACTTTCAGTTGAGTGAACTCTTTGATATCAGCCTCCACAATAAAAAATTCACCTGGAAAACAAATAATGACTTTGCTAGAGAAATGACTGTAGGATACACTTAACATTTCACAGGCAACAATACAACCTCTTCTTAACAATTCCACACGCTGATTAAAAAAATACAAATCAGTAGGACGGCCTCACACTACCTCAGGAACTTTGTTCTACTTTCTAAATTTGTCACCAGAAAGAAGAATTAACGACCTTCCCGTTAAGTTCAACTCCCCTGCATCGTCCACAGGCCCCACTCAGCGAGCTCCATCTGTTGTCAGCTCTATCTACTAATATCTCTCAAACCATCCACGCTCCTCTATTGGTCTATCAAGTCCGCAGCAGTCCAAAACACCACCCGGGGCCAGACGGAAGACGTTCCACAGATGTGGATACTAGAAAGTCAGTTGACAGCACACCTTGAAGAGCCTCGACGCGTAACAGTAAACTTCTCTTTGAGGCCTTGCCCATAGGTGTTCTGCTCTTAGTGACATCCAAAGCACTGACCTGAGCAAAACCAAAGAGATGCTCAGGCTCTGATTAAAGATCATAGCACAGCTTTACGAAGAAAGGCATGATACTTCAGCGTTTCAATCACGGAACACTGTTGAGTAGCAGCATGATTTGAATCCCGAGTAGTTGCTTTGCAATGTCTGAAATAAAGCTGTGGCTTGATGACGTTCTCTCAGCAGGCACTCAAGTTCTGGATTCGGCCCTTTGCAAATAAAAGGACAGAGCCCTGCATACATCAGAGCTATGCAGCCCACCATTCCCTTGACTTCCAGATTTGGAAAAAAAATAATTCTTTGTTAATTAAGAAAATGTAAGAAAAAGACTAGCCACATGGAAAGGCATCCTCCCTGTGTCTCTAAGAAAATGGCATAGGAAGGTCCTGCATCAGAGCTGGCAGCCCATCCCTTCTTGTAGTTGATTAACTACTTCTAAAAGGAAATTCTCATTATCATGTGCTTGTAAGAAACCAAGGCCTTGACTGGAGTTAAAGCATTTAAAATGCCTGCAACAGAACCCCAAGTCCCCACAAGCAAGGAAGGAAGGAGTTCTTCTAAGTACTCCATAGCTGTATTCACTACCGGCGATTTCATACTCAGTCTTTATTCACTGCTCTGATAGGAGATAATTATAGAGCTAGTAAAATGGCTGTACGCTTAATACTACCTGTAATGTGGCATAAGGTTTTAACCACGCGTCTTCACAAAACCGTAAGAAAGAAAAGCAATCTGAAACCAGGAACATGCTAATTAAGGTATAAGCAAGAAATGTCCAATTATCTTTAAGGAGAGGAAGTAGAAGGAAATAACGTATTTTTCCATAGTATTATGCTTCCAAGTCTAACAAGAAAGAAGCCACAAGGCTAGGGGTGTTCTAGCTTGGAAAAAGAGGACAGCATTCTCCCTCCTCCTTTTATCCTTAAAGTAAGGCAGAGGCAGTAGCATCTTAGATAAGACAGAGCATCTCTTCTTTCTATTAAGTTATTGGAGAGTCCTTCCAGTTTAAGTGAGGAGAAAGTAGCTGATGCTAGCTGGAAAGCAAAAGCTGCCAGGAAAGCTTTTATTTATTTATTAAACAAGTACAAAGTAGCTTTACACAGGGAAATCTGTGTTTTTCTGTAAACGTTTCATCTTGAAATTTCATCTTGAGTGATCTAATAGGACATGCACTCCACTCCAGAGGAGCATCCAAGGACGTGATGGGCATTAGAATGAAGGTCCCAGAGTGCGTAGTGTTCCGCAAAACATTCGGTAGCCAGAGCTGAAGAATAACAGATCGTGTTTTCTCACAGACTGGGCCATTCTGAGAGTTTAAGAGGAAGTAGAATCTTCCAGAGATGATAACTGTCAAATGCTGGAGGTCTTCCCTCAGGTGAGAACTATGCTGGAAGCTCAACGGAACTTGGGACACTGCCGAATTCACATACAGGGGAGAAGCGGAAAGTTTGTTTACTAGGAAAAGAAAAAAACCTGCATAACTTCTTAAAATAGAACTACAGTTGGATAGAGAGCATTTGCAATTTCCAGTAATAGGGCAATACACCTAAACGGTGTTAGGAACCCGGGGAGAATCTGCATACTGGTTTTGTCGTCTGTTATATCTGGGGGAAGCATCAGAATGTCCTGAATCTGTGCAGAATACGGTTTCTTCTTCTATTTGCCCAGAATTCAGGGCAGCAACATTCAGCATAGCAGGATCTTTTTTATGAAGAAACCAGCACTGGATAAAGGGCAATGGTTTGGTTGGAAACAGTAGGTCCATGCACTAAATAACTAGCTAAACTAACTGAATCACCTTACTGGTTGGAAGGTTACCCTAATAAACCAGGCAGCATCTTTTCTCATCTTGAAATCAGAGGAAGAGGTTGGCTGGCAATCAGCCCAGGCTGAGAAACTGTGGGAATCCTAAGCAGAGAGACACTCACAGTAGAAATTTCAGCAAACAAATCAATGAATGCACAACCTCATCCTGAAAAATGCAACGGATAAAGACATTTAATCATTTCGTGCTGGCCAGATAAGAACCATCTGACAGCCTGCCAGACCTTTTCTCTAGACTTTCTAGATGATTAGTCACAACAAACAAAAACAAAACAAAAACAACCTACCACATACACACACACACACTCTCTCAGATGTTGAATGTCCTAGTTTCCTAACTGAACTTTCCAACATAAACAAGAAAATAAAGACTGTTTCTCAGGTACTTGAAGAAATTAAAAGCCTCAGTTTTTCAGACTTAAAAAAAAATACTTTATGGTTGAAATTTGTCTCTGACTAGTTGGAGCTTTCTCAAGTTGCTCGAAAGGTTCCTTCATTGCAGTCAAGTCTGCCGCGGATCATGGTGCAGACTAAGCACCATTCCAGGCCTAGGACGGCCCTTCTAGTGTTTTTATATATATATATAAAACTGTATAGCCCTGGGCTCAAACTCCTTACTACTGTCCTGAGGACAGTAACAGTTAAACCTAAAAGATACTGTGAGGTAAAAATGATGAAGCAAGTATTTTACGAAATCCCAGATTAATATAAGCCAGTTAGACTGAAGCAAAACTTGTCTAGAGAACACCCAAACTATCAGAGCCCAAATCAGAAGCCAGTCACGTGAAGCAGTCTAGCTGCATGCCTTTAGCATGCATTTATTAAAGTCCTTTACAACACTGATTTTCACAGGACATGTTTATCCTAGAGGTCTCAAAACAAAGTGCCAGGCATGTCTATCAAATCAGAATTCCTTCCCTACAGAAGAGTTGCATTGAGAATCTAGAAGTTAGTGATGTTCTCACCATACTACAATATCGAGAGAGTCTTGATGAGCAAGAAACGCAAAGGAAGGAAGAAAAAGTTGTAGTTTGTCATAAGATGACTCCCGAGTACCCAGTGAATGCTTAGAGCAGAATGTTCTTGCATTCTGTCCAGGACAAAAAAAAAGGAACCAAAAAACCCGAGAGGTAGGTGCCAAGGTGTTGTCAGAAAAAGAGCTCTCTTTCCGTGAGACAGAAGAGTTTGCTCCACGCTTTACGTCTGAACTTGGAAACATAAGGGCATTCTAAGGACACTGCCAAGCTTGATATGCACAGTACACCCCTCCAGGAATAATTACATACTTGTTCTCAAAAGAAAAGGAATGTCAAAAAGGAGATTTTAATATTAGAGATTTACTGTGCCACATATCTTTGGAAAAACTAACCTGTAAGTACAACTTGCTTTTAAATCGAGACAAAGACATTTTGGTGCGTTTTCACTCCCTCCATGCTTTTAAGAAGGGAAAACTTCTTAAGATTATCAGACAGCTCTGTCTCTTCCACAAATCCACTGCAGCATGACTGATTACCCAAGATTTCCCAACTTCAGAACAAATCGTTAATCTTTCACGTCCATTCTAGCTTAAAAACTGAAAACACAGTTTATACAGTTTGGTTATCAAACTAAGAGTTTCCAGAACTTGTAGCGATTCCAAATGAAATCTTTGTGCATTCAAAGTTTTTGCTACAACACACCATCAAAGTGACATGTTTTCAGTGAAAACATATAAAAAGTAACCAAGTCAGTTACGGGGAAAACTCTTCAGTCAAAACAATAATCTTTGTTGCTACAATATAAGACTTTATGCAGAAGAGATGACTGGATTTTATACTGACTACCCGGTTCTGTGGAGTAATAAGACATTGATATTCCTTATGGCCTAGAATCTGATCTGGGGCTGAATCTCGTTTCTGTTCTCCTCCCCTTATAGCAAGGAAGAACCAGAACTTTCATTGCTCCAGACTGTCGAAGCGTCGTTCGTCCCCCATCATGGACAGGGATTCTCCAGGGCCAAATCTGATTTAGACTGTGGCACCCCATGCTGGGAAGGGAGGGAAAGCCCTGCTAAGTCTACAGATTATTAATCTTTTTTTCCTGTTCTCCAACTGAGAATATGCATAAGCAGGTTTTCTAAAATCTTTCAGGACTGATGATTTTTAAACACTCCCACAGGTTAGACCATTCCACAACCTACCAGAGTGCCTGCACAGACTATTTTCTGAGAATAAGATGCTGTAAGTTACAGTAAAGCACAAAAAACACGTGCTGTCATTAGTCATTCAATATTTCAGCCAGTATTATTATACTTGTGCTGCAATATCGAAGTGTTACGAGTACGGTACCAATAAAGGAAAAAAAAAATACCTTTCGTATCCTTAGTTTCTTCTTCCAGGAACCTGTGGTAGAGATTTCTGACTGCTCCATTCATAGATTTCAAAGGCTGATGCAAGATCTTGTACTTGCCCACCACAGCCTTGTTCATATCTTGAACAACTGCATTAATCTGATCATATGTTAAACGACCTTTCATATACCTACAAATAAAAATAAAAATCAGTAATCAGTAAGTCACAAACCAAGTTCCATGTTTATTTTTCTCTTTCATCAGCCTTAATTGAACATGCTATTCCTAAAGAGGCAGTTTCTTCTGCTTTGTGTTAATGAATAAACGTAGCAGTTAATTTTGTTCATTTCCTTGATTGCTTAATAATCCTGAAGGTAAAAAAGCCATGATAAAACCTAGAGCAGAAAGATGAAACTTTAGAAAGCTAAATTAAGAAGTAAAAGCTTAAGCTGTAAGGAGCCTTTCAACATGGAATAAAGGTTCCTTTTATAGCATACCACTTAAACTACAAACTCAGAAAAAATCATGCAACTTTGCAGAAAACATAGCACGAGTCAAAACTGAAATTAAATGTTCCTGCCTAAGAGTGCAATTTGGTTCGTATTACAATCATAAATAACCTGCGTTTGATCTTACAGACGTTCCTTTGGGTTTTTTTGAAGAAAAATCAGTTTTGTGTTGTTTTCTGTATTTTATTGTGCAGCCTACTGAGCTATACAGACACAGTTCTGCACTACCACCATTCGCTTCAGAACTTTCAGAGCATTTCATAAAACTAGTACTAAAATAATAAGATCTGTTGATAACAGCCTAGAGGTACAGGAAACAGAAGATAAAAACAAAGTGATGTGGAAATATTAGAACACTGGAATATTTGCAAGTAAGGCTATTCAGTATTTATAGATGCAAAGGCATGCATTCAAGGAAGAGGAAACATGCTACAAACTGAGAAGCTATTATATGAAAAAGAAATCTGAAACTCATATGACAAGCAGTAAGCTAAATACAAACCAAAACCTCCCAAACACTGCAGTAAAAGCCAGGGCAACCTTGCAACTTGAATTATCCTGTGATCACCATTCAGTCGCTACAACAAACCAAATTTGGCTGTTTGCATTCCGTTCAGTATCAGTTTGCCGATGTGTGGAGTTAAGAAAAGTGTTACAATTAATTTTAAGAATGAATGAGGTTCTTTAGATCAGTCTGTCAGGTGGCTAAAAGCTGTAGGACAATAAGACTGAAAAGATCAATGAACAGGAAATGCTTCCCTCATTTTAATTGGAATGGAAAAACTCAGTCTTTGGAAAACACACAATTTAAAGCGCAAGTAGCTAATCAATTGCAAATTCAATATTCCAAACCAGAACGCGGGCAGGCATTCTACAGTTGCCAACTAAAAATAAGTGTTTGCTGTAGATTTTAATAATAGCCAGTCCCTGCCAGGGACACAGGTCTGCACGGGATGTGTAAAAACTCCTGAATTCAAAGCAATTGCTCTAATTTCAGACTGAATTGCCACAAAGTTATTTGCAGCCGCTTTTCAACTTTATCGATACTTTGATTAATCCAGATTCAAAAGTTGGAGGTGCAGCCATTTTTATAACAATACTCTGCTTTGCACACCTATCTTTTCGAATAAAAGCAGCACTACCACCTCTGAAACGCAGTCCCACGCAGCATAAACAAGTAACCCAGCCTATAACCACAGAAGCGCTTTGCCTGTATACATTAACTGCTATTTATTGCTCTATCCACATCCCTTAGCCTATTTATAAAGTCCCAGGGGAATGCGCTGAGCTATAAAGATTAAGGCCAGAGGTATAAAATACCTGTATTTAAGTTCCTACGCTCCCACTATCAATAGACATACAGTGAGCACACTTAATAAAGCCAAAAGAACACCTCAGCTCATCCTGAAGCAGAAAGAGAACCAGGGTTTGGTTGCCTAAACCTAAGAACCGTTGTTCTCTTTGAGAAGCCCTCAGGCATCCAAGATGCTCACACAGGGCTAGCAGAGGGGTTTCCAGAAATTTCAGTCACTAAAGATCTGGCAGTACATGGTAAAGCATCTGCAACAGCGCCAGACGGTTTAACTGAAACGCGCCATTTAGCAGCTGGGCAGCTGAACTGTTTTTTCTGGTTTTGTCGACTGTACTGACTAGACGTTCAGCGACAAGAGTGGGAGTGGGGGCACTCCGTGAGCGTGGAGACACCTGTGTCACAGACACTTAAATGTAGGCGCCTTAATCGGAAACGAAATTCTGTCAAAAGCAACTGGAATTTTTCTTCTATGCATCACTGTAAGGATCATAAAACCTCCAGCTGTTCCACAGTCTTCTCATGTTTCTATCTAGCCACGGCTAGCAAACCCATAAATGCTGACATTTATTTCAGTCTGTACATACACTAATATAAAAATATAAAGTTAAGAAGTTCCAAATTCATCCATTTAATTTAGATTTAAAATAACTTTAAAATCTGCTTCACTATACCAAAAGCAAAAACATTCAGAAGTCTTTTTTTTTTTTTTTTTTTAAAACGAGTGACCCAATTTCTTTTTTTAAATCCACAGAAAGCCTTTTCAAAACATTTTTTTCTCCATAGGTATGAAAACCAAAGCACAGTACTATGTTCTTCAAAGAAAAGAATAACATCAATATATCACCTATATACCACTGGAAAAAAAAAAAACCAAAATGATATAAATCTCCTAATGGCCAGCCCTTGCTGCCTTAAATACGCGTAGGCTAAAAGAAACATGTATTCCCTCAAGTTACCATCTTCCGAGCCTTGAGAGTTATAACGAATGTGCAGATTCTAAAATATCTTAAGTGGTAAGAATTTTAGACACGGAATAAAGCAAGCATTTTCCTTTGCCTTGAATTCAATGTTAACCGAGACGTCAACTGTGCAATTTCCTTTCTCTTCCTCCAAAAAGCGCCTTTCCGCAACAGATTTGAAGGGTAACATAATTTGCAAGTTTCTTACTGTGCGAAAGGATTCGATTTGATCAAGGTTACTTCATCTCTGCACCTTCACGCAGCACGTACCTTTGTTAAATACCTGCTGCAGAGTTCTAAAACTACGAAGTCACTGAAGACTGTATATCCCTTTCAGTGCCCTAATGATGTTAGAGATAGATTCTCCTTGATATTCAGAACAAAGAGGGGGAAAACCACCTAGATTTTTCGGTTATGATCTATCACAGCTGTGGTAGGAAGGGAGAGAGGAATAAAACTCTTGGCAGACACAAAACCCACGATAACCAGCTGGTATGGGATTTACACACATATGTGATGCATATGCACGGTTGTGCTTTATTAAGTAGCTCAGGCAGGCTTAGCATAGGCACAGTCCTGTACCAGCACAGTCACACAGGTCCAGAACCAGAGCTAAGAGAATGTGTCAGGAGTGAGAAAATTGGGGTTACAAACATTTGCTGCTTAGATTTGATTAAGTAGTATGTGAAATTGCAATCTTAGCGGACTCTCCCAATCTCGTATTACAACACTGCCAGGCAACAGGAAAAAAAAAACCAAAACAAAAACCAAAACCTGGTAGATTAACAGATCTAGTTAAATTCATGTAAATCTTCCTTCACAGAACAAACACGCCTTTCCCATCTTAATAAAAATATTTCTATAGCCCCACAAGCACAGTTGAAGATGCAACATTTTGATAAATCGGCCATGAATATAAGAGGATCCAGCTGGGCTCTGTCCCCATTCTCCCCACCCACAAACAGCAGGGGAAAACCTTCCACTTTCGAGGATGAGGAAACACTTTAAGGAGCTCTCAGGGAAGATCATAGCTTTAACTGGAGGTTAAACCAACATTTGGCTAGAATGGCCTATACCTACTTCTCTTGCCTTAGCAGAGATAAAGACCAAAAATTCCCGTGCTCCAGCTTTACCTTTCCAAAATTTTAATCGGGAGAGAAATACCTAAGGGAGTAAATCTACCAAATACTAGAGGTGATCTGCAGAACAAAAAAAAAAAAAATCAGGTGCATGCACTTTTAAGAAATAATCAAAAGAGTCCTTGATCATTAGCTCAACATTCAGGCTCCTTCATTTTTTGGATTGAGTAATTTGGTGGAAGAAAATGGACCCTGCTCACCCAAAAGTTTTGAAAGCTATAGGAGAGACGATTTGAAAGCCTTGAGTAAAACACAGACTCAAAAAAAAAAATTCTTATTGAAACAAGTGTTGTCAGGGAACACACTGAATCTAGAGTCTAGATAACAATTTAGCCTTAGGCACCAAGAGAATTTTCTCCTTTTCGCAGAAATATTTATCCTTGTCCCAAAAATGTCATTTAAGAAAAGTTATTCCTACATGACAGACTTCAGACAAGGATATCCATTAATCAGGTCCTGATGGTAGGGGGGCAAAAAACCCACAGCTTTCTATTTCAGAAATTTGGGATACTTCAGTGGGAGGTGTTTTTTGCTTTTAACAACTCTGATTTCTTTTCCTGTCTCCAAACAGATTGATAAGTCAAGACTTGAAGTTTTCAGAAACCAACAGTCAGGTCAAATAAAAAGAGCATTTATCATTATTTTTCCTTTTAAGTGTAACCATACCTTTCATCTTAGATGATGATGGCTCTTTTTTTTTTTAAATGTCAGTTCTCAAAACAAGAAGAGAACCCATCTATTAGCCAACAGATTTCTGTCCATACAATTAAAGTGACTTTTAAGATAAGAGGTTTGGGTTTTAACTGATTAGTTCTGATCTTCCTAATACATACATAAAAAAGAACCTAATTAGCTCTATTAATTTCATTTTCAGATTTGCCAGTATTGCGTATAAACTATTTGGAGCTATCATCATGCATTTCATCCCGTGGAACATTTAGCATTACAAAACATCTCTCTCAGTCTCAGTCCTGCAAGAGCTCACTTTCCCAAAAGCTACCGTTTGCCACCCAAACTGGCATGACAGGGCCTAAGAAAAGCCAGGCTTACTTACGTAGGAACATTTTCAAATTCTTCCGCAGTTATTAAGGGCGCTTCTTTAATATGTCTTGGCTCTTTTGTAGGTTTCTTTGCACGTTCAGGTTCCACAACTTTTGTTTGTTCTTCACATTTCACAGTTAGCCCAGTGACGCTGTAAAATGAATGAGTATTAAGTGTATAAATAGCAGATAAGTAGTAAGGAGAATACCATTATATTATCAAGTCTGCTTACTCACAGACCTAAGTTCCAACCCATCTGTTAGGCTGGGTGAACGTAATTCACGATCTTTCCCGAAAGAAAAATAAAGCAAGCAAGCCTACTCCATTTCAAATTGCATACTTTAGCTGACTTCATTATAGCTCTTCATTTCCCTGCTAGAGAGGCTGCTAGCAGGTGAACTGGAAGCAGTCCAAATGCAGCACAGAGCAGTTAAGAATTCAATGTACCATTACATTTCACAGAACATGAGGCCTCGCTTTTTATCAGATGAACCACAGCACAGAGCTGCAGCCTAACAGGCAGATTTGAAATACTTCACAGCTCTTTGAAACAAGTTCAAATCTTGGAAAGCCTGACTCATCCATTAATCTTTTGAAGCAAAGAAATCCAACACCATCCAGCAAGCTGGGATTTTTATTTTATTTTTTTTTTAGGCAAGATCCCAAAAGCTGAGGAATTTCCTGCTTTGGGTGATTATTAGAGCATTATTTTTATAAACTCACCCTTCCTCCAAACCCTCAGCTTAGAGCCTCAAAGCCCGAGTTATTTGCCAGCCCCCCACCTAGCCGCTCTCCTGCTTATCGCTAGGAGGACAGCAAAGAGGATGCATTTGGCCAAATTTGACGTTATTGGGCTGAGATGTGCAACAGAAATAACTAAAGCAGTACCGAGCTGACCTGTCACAAAGACCTGATCCTCTACTTTGATCTAACCTTCCCACAAGAAGAGATCTTTGTTTGATGGCGGGGGGGGGGGGCCTACAGTCAGCGAACGACACAGCAGTGCCCCATGCGCTGATCTGAAGAGCTGGGATTTGATGTGTCGCTTGACGGGACACCCCCAAACCCCATGTCCCATTTCCCAGGGAAAACTGGAGTGTGGAGGAGAGCGAGTGCCACCTGCTGGACTCCCAAACTGGCCTGTGACACAGCGACAGGGAAAGCTCTGCCCTTCTGAAATCTAGGACACCAACAGTTAAATTCATTCAGATGTAAACGTCTGAAAAAACGAGGTCCTGCACAAAACTCATCCTGGCATCCTGGAGCTAGCACTAGTGGCAGGGAATGTCAGCAAGGAAGAGGGAAAGGGAAAGGTGGGGATTTTTGGTGGTGTTGGAGGGGTCTTTGGAATAGAAAGATAAATGCGAGGGAGGCGAGTTCACATCTTAAAACTTCATTCCTCCCTGCCATCCTCCTCACTGCAACAAACCTCTTCTCTTTTCTAGACGATTCCCCATCCCCAGGTACTTCTGCTTCGGGTTCCTACCCACTACCTTGCCTCTATATTGCTGCAGTGGGATAGTGCATATAGAGTTCACCGCTGACCTGGCCCATGAAAAGAAAGAACTGGAGCTTGGATTCAGAATCTGGCTTTGGTGCGGTGAGAAACTGCTCTCTCAATAAACACCTGGAATATAAAGGGCTTAAGATAACCTTGAACTTGCTTTTTATTTCTGTAGATTCCTCTGGTAAACAAGAACATCAAATCAAGAACACGGGAGAGAAACAAGAGCTAAAGTCATGAATTGCTCAATTCCTCTGTGTGGGTGTCTTCATTCTTTCTGAGATTCGAAGGCATGTCTCACCAGCGTTCAAGTGCTCCCTCTGCTTTCTGCATTACTTATCTCATGATATTCACTCAACAGACAATTAGCACTCAGCTCCCCAAGCATTTTGGGACGTAGAGGAACAGAAATGGAGAAGGTCAATGGAGGAAGGTTTGGGGAAGAGGAACGAAGACCTATTTACAGTGATTCAGATGGATTCTGACCCGTTACAGTCTGTCTTGCACTTGTTCGATCCTCCACTGCACAACACAGCGAACACCAAGAAGTGACAACATGGGGACAATGAAGAAAATGTGCTTTCATAGAATCGTAGAATCGTTATGGTTGGAAGAGACCTCAAAGATCATCAAGTCCAACCGTATACCCGATGCCACCATGCCCGCTAAACCCACTAAATGAACACTCGAAGGGCCACATCTAAACGTTTTTTGAACACCTCCAGGGACGATGACTCCACCACCTCCCTGGGGAGCCCGTTCCAATGCCTAACGACTCTAACAGTGAAGAAGTTCTTCCTGATATCCAACCTGAACCTCCCCTGGCACAACTTGAGACCGTTTCCTCTTGTCCTATTGACAAATGCCTCTGACAAAAGGCATTAACATAAAATGTATTATTCCTCAGGAAAAACCAACACCACGAACTGACACTGACAGAACAGCAGTTGTAAGCTGGCAGAGCATAATCTGTAGAAAATTATTAGAAAAACTTCCTTAGTTTTACGTGTGTGGTTCTCTTTAGAAAGGGAAGAACCAGCTGAAGTCACATCACAAGTAACTTCTTGATCAAAAGTGTAAGACTGGAAGGGAACCAACATCCCAAAGAATCTTTTTGATATCAGAGGTGACACAATCGCTAAACAAGCCTTATTTGCATCTAAACAATTTCCAGGAGCCAATGTAAACTTAAGACAAAGGGTTTTCCTAAATTAAGAAAGTAAGTTATAGAAGGAAGGCAGAACTCCGGTGATAATTTCTGAAGAACTTCCATTCTTTCACACACACAAAAAAAGCAGCATCTGAATTGAAAGGGACATCTCTAGACACATTTTAGGAGGCTGTTTCCTAAACGGAGGGTTCATGTCTAAAGGGTTGCATTCAGAAAAAAGCTTCTGCATAAATCATGTCCTTACCAGCTAAGACTAGTCCAAGTTTCAATACAAGCAGTACTTATGCAGGTGAGAATACTGCTACACACCATGTAAAATTAGAGTTCATTTTTCTCTTCTGTAACCCTATTTCCACATCCTTAACCTTTTACTTTGCTGGAATACGCTGGTAATGTTTTCAGCCTGAGACTTATCTGGCATTAGGAGCAAGACCAGGCAAAGCTGATAGATTCAGGATGCATCGAATTCAAATAGACTGATGCATTACCTTCTGACAAGCTACAAGGGTGTAAACAAGCTCTGGGATCTCCAGATGTTAGGCTCTAGAAGAGACCCCCATCTGGCATGCAGTAACATCACTCAAAAAGAAAAAGCAACTTGCGTCTCATTCTCTCACTTGAGCTATTTTATCCTGAACAGCTTCTTAGTACAGCCCTCTCAAAGGCAGGTGGATGTCATTGCTAGCTAAAATAAATGCCAGGCTGCTGCAGGGAAAGGAGAATAAAAATACCACAACCATAACTCAAATCCCCACAGAAAGATGATTGAGATAGAGGATTTTTTTTTTTTTTAATAATATTTGGAAGGGCAGTACTGAACTTCAGTTCTAGTGACCCAGCATTTCGATCACTAGCCTACCCTTCACTCCTTAGACACCGCAACTATCAAATCAGCGTGTTTGCAATCCTAAAGCAAAGAATGCTCCCATTTATAGAAGCAGCTTTCTACTAAAATGTCACACCTGCCACTGCAAGCTTCCAGCTGAACAACTTGGTATTTTATAGATTTTACCTGAGGGATTTGTTAGGGTGCTAGCACAAGCCTGGTAGTGAACAGTCACGAGCAAACTCCAGAATCAATACCTATAAAAACAACCTTGGCTCCCAAAAGTTCACAGTTAATATACAATAAAAGGAGTAGAGCTGTACAATGCTGCAGCCAGATGCTGCCCGGAGCAGCCCGGTATCTCCACGCTCCTGTACCACATACCAGCTCTGAGTTGGTTTAGGCAGATGGGGAGGAATGTTGTCGCGGAGGTGCTGTGCTTCACTTTGATCTCTCTCAGCGGACTTCTGGAGCTCCTGAAATTAATGTTAGATTTCATCAGAAATCTGAAACTATTAATGTCAAGCAAATAAAATTAGTCTACTATTAGGGCAATGCTAAACATAATTTTTAACTTGATTAAGGGTTGTTCTTTCTTCTCTCCCCATCATCTTACCTCTTTACCCCCCAATTTCCCCAAGAACAACTAGTAAAGCTCAGAAAAACAAAGCTAAGAGTGTCCGTCCTTGCCCTCAAAGAGTCAGAGAAATCTGAGTGGGCGAGAATTAAATCTTTAACAATATATCCTAGCAGGTTTGAGCAGGGGAATGGTGGTGATGAAGAGATACTACAGGAAACTCATCTACATCCCCCAAACAACACTTTCACAAAAGACTTAACACCTGAAGGCATTGGAAATACACACTAGAACAACAGATAAATATTCTAATTAAATAGTTTTCATAGCTATTGCAAGGATGGAAAAATAGAACTGCTCTTTAGATCACAGTGTCTATTATGATAAATGTGTGCTTTCAATGTATAAGTCTTGAAAAATAAAATTTTTAATGTTCACTATGCTGGAGAACTGCTTAATAAACCATCAGTAAGCCTGATCCAAGCCCCAGTTTCTCTTGTAAGCATGTGCATCCAAACATATCACGGAGGATCTAGAAAAGAACAACTACACACTTATCAAATACACACTTATCAAAGATTCCTTTGAATCTTTCTCTGTTTTATGAACAAGAATAAAAGATTACTTTTAGCAAATTCTTCAATTTTTCTTGCTGTTGAACTTCGGTTTCCATTTTACTCAGGAGATCTTGCAAAAGAACCATCTCATGTCCTATTTTACAGAGCATAGATTTGAGGGATGGTTCTTGACCTGTCAAAGAGAGAACGTTAAGCCAAAAAGCCAAAACACCTCCAATACAAAACCAAAATCCCATTTCCCTCTCCTCCACAAGCAGTGATTATCTACTAAGTCTATGCTCCCAAACTACTGTATCTTCCCAGGAGAAGCTGCAATATTCACTGGTCAAACAGTCAACCTTCTAGTCCATACAGCCAACTGAGATCAAAGCTGCTGCAGGGAGCTGCTGTTCCCTCCAGAGAGGTTTAGATTGGACATTAGGAAGAATTTCTTCATCAAAAGGATTGTCAAGCACTGGAAGAGGCTGCCCAGGGAAGTGGTGGAGTCACCGTCCCTGGAGGCATTTAAAAGGCTTGTAAATGTGGTGCTTAGGGACATGGTTTTGTGGTGGACTTGGTCGTGCCAGGTTAACAGTTGGACTTGATGATCTTAAAGGTCTTTTACAACCTAGACGATTCTGTGATTCTAATAAAGGCCTCTCTCCAGCACTAGGCTGGAAAGCACTAAGCTGTACCCACTACTGCTTGCAGGTTGTGGCTGTGGGACACAGGTTTTAAACACAGCCTAGCTTTCACAGCTGCTTGGCTGCGGCACCCTGCTCTCCTTCACAATCGCCCTCTGTTTAGGGTTATAGTTCCTCTTCCAGCAGGAGGTTAGCCTAGATGACCCTCCCAAACAACATTTCTGTGATCCTGCGTCACCTCTATTTATGCCTAGGAAAAGATAAGAGATGAATCGAAAACATTCAGATCCATTTCAGCACCTCAGTTTAAGTAAGTTTGCTACCCACTGCGTGTTCACATCACAGCCAGGCACTCCTGTGCACCTCAGTTTAAGTAAGTTTGCTAACCACCGCGTGTTCACATCACAGCCAGGCACTCCTGGAATGCTAGGACAAGACATCTGTATAAACCTCTGTCTGTGCCTTTGCATATTTTTGTAATTAGGCTTAACATACTCGCTAATTATTTTTCCTCCTCCTATCTGGAGCTTTCCCTCCAAGTGTATAGAATATAGGGTACGTTAACCACCAGTCTTCAAGTCCCTGAGAGGAACATACTTTCTCTTAGCCCGTGCTCTCTACTTGACACCTAGTTCTCTGCTAATGCTCCCATTTTGCCATCCTTGCTCACTTTGTCGTTGTAGTTGTTCTCCTCTGCATTTTACTTGATTTCCACTTCATGTTACATTCCTTGTCTAATTAGAGCAGTCCCATTTTCTGCAAGGAGGTGAAAACCAGAACCCACTCTTAATTTCTTTTACCTATGTTTCTTAATTGAAGAGTCTTTTTAATAGTTGAAATCTTCACGTTGATGTGAAAGCATAAATCTTCCAGGTCTGAGGACGCCATATCTTCTGTTATCATACCGAGGGAAAATAAAAAAGAATGTAATAATTTAAGACAGACCTAAGCTGCAAACCCTAAGCACACAAGCAGAATTTTAAAAAGGACCCTGGTCTGTCAAAGAACCAAAGAGAACTTAAATCAAGCAGTAAATGTAGTAAATACCTTTTATTTTACTAAATTGAAAGCAGGAAGCACAAAGTGACTGGCATTAGAGAAGACAAAGTAATTTCCCTGAACTCTGGAAATAAATGCAGTGTAACATCAGTACAACGATTCCTCGTGAAACTGCTTAAGTCTTTAATATAGTAAGGTGTTCACTACTAAAGGAGTTGGAAATTTACTGCAATAAAGAAAATAAAGAAATATCTGGCTGATACAAAGTAGTTCTATAAGGCTCCCTTAGGGAGACTGCATCAGGTGATCAAGATTTAAAGAAGCATTTTGTTTTGTTTTTAAAAAAAGTGATTAGGCTCGACATTAGGAAGAACTTCTTCACTGTTAGAGTCATTAGGCATTGGAACGGGCTCCCCAGGGAGGTGGTGGAGTCACCATCCCTGGAGGTGTTCAAAAAACGTTTAGATGTGGCGCTTCGAGACATGGTTTAGCGGGCATGGTGGCATCGGGTGTACGGTTGGACTTGATGATCTTTGAGGTCTCTTCCAACCAAAATGATTCTATGATTCTAATTAAACAAAAGAAAATGTACACTTGCTTGCTAGCAGACTAAGGAGGTACAAAAGGTAGCATTATATCTCGGTTACTGTTGTGTAAGTACGCTTATTAACTCTATTATAGAAAACAACTGACAAAAACCCTGGCAGAAATCATCCCCCCAGACCCCCAGGTAACACCGTCCCCCGGCGGCCCTTGTGTTCACAGCGCTCGCACAGCTCCCTCCGGCGGGTAACCCACACCTGGAAACGAAGCTTTCATTCCGCTTTTAGTCTTAAAATCCTACGAACTAGGACCCCTGCTGAATCAGCTATTAGAGATTTGCCGATTTCCACACTTCTCATACTTTAGGAGAAACCGTTACAACCCGCGGCAGCCCCCGCCCTTCGTTTCGCCTCACGTCCTAACCCAACACGAGTATTTCCCGCTCCAGCGCACTGCTCTCACCGCTGCGATGACCGGAGCCAGCTCGCTGGTGAGGAGGAAAGCGGTTTCTCCACAGAAAAAAACCCCGATCGGGCCCCGCTGTTCCCCGGCGGCGGCGCCGCTTCAAACCCGCCGCGCTCAGCCGGCCGTTGGGAGAGCGCAGGCGCATGCGCGGAAGGGGAAGGCGGGAAGGGCGAAGGGCGGGAAGTGCTGAGGGAACAGCCCCCCCCCCCGCTCCGGTGCCGCCTCACAGGGCTCTTCCCGCCCTCTCAGGAACCGGGATTCCACCAACAAAAAAAAACCCACAGCGCTTATTAATTAGTCAGAGAAATTCAGTTTATTTCGGCATTCAACAGAAGACAAAGCCCTCGATAAAAATTAAGGCGCTTTTCAACATACACATACTCATACTGGTATGTCTTCTATAGAACATCATCACCACCCATCGATTTTTTTTCCTCAGGGAGGGGAGAGGGAAGGAGATAAATAAACAGCTTAGCTTACACTTACCCCAAACTCCTTTTTTCTAATTAGCTACAAATATAAAGGTTTATTGCTAAGGATAGACTGCTTATCTCTCCAAAGAAAAAAATACGCAAAAACTGTTGCTTTTCCACAATTTCCTAATGAAGAATAACTTGTGGTTCCCTCTCCCCCCAACTCCAAAAACAACCCAACAACCCCTGAAGAACTGAGAGATTACCATACAAAAAAGTTGAAGAAGGACCATTTTTAAAGCAGTGGTGCAATCCAAGAAGTGCCCGCATTCAGCAGACCTTTAAGGAAAAAGGAAAACCAGCAAAGAAGGAGTCACGTAATGTCTCCGGACAATATGTTATTGAAATTGCTCGGTAAAAGAACGCATTATCTTAACATTTTTAGTGGTAAAAAGCAGTCAGGCCTTCAGTGGCACAGGGAAGGCTGCACTAACCCCTCCGGCAGTCCGCTCTACACGACCGCACCGAGCCATCATGTCCTGCGACTCCCATCCTCCAGCTTGTATTCGTCTCAATAACTCTTGCAACTTCTACGTTAAATGGAGAGACATAATCTGTCTTTCAGACAAACCATAAAAGCATCCATAAAAGGAGGAAAAAAAATAATTCCAAAGCACTGCTTCATAAGCAATTAATGTCAAATAATAATGTATTTTTAAAAATAGACAAAAAACCAAGCCAAAAAGAGACGTCCTGAGCCCAAAAAGCTCAAAACACACATCCCCTCCTAACCTGGGATTATTCACATTTGCTAGCTGCTTCGAAAAAAGAACTCCAATGTCTGTTCTAGACTTTAAACACGGGGTTGTCTTGCACTAACAACCTCTGCAGTAAACTGAGTTACAACGTATGACCATAAAAAGGAGGAAAATTTAAAAAAAAAAAATAAAATAGAAACACCATCAGATATAGAGAAAACGTATTCTAACTCCCCGTACTTATGAAGAATATTTCAACCTGGCATTCAGAAGCTTCTTTTACTGTTTAACCACACCATGGGAATGATCTGATATTTGTGCAGAGACCACTGAAACCCCTCCTGCGGTTTCAATCAGTTTAGTGATTAAAAATAATGTTTCTTCTGCATGTTTTAAGGGTAAGGAACTGCAGAAGAAAATATTCTTTCTGGAGTCTGTTACACCACCTGGTGCTATCTAAAGTCACAAATCCAAACCTACAATAACCTAGCTGTGGTATGCAAGATCAGGGTACGTTACTGTAGGGCACTGAATATTGAAATTGCCATTTCACGTCACCCGCAAGAAACTTTCCCAAGTCGATACGCAATGTTCTTTCTGTTTCATGTACACAAAAGAAAACATTTAGCAAGAAGGTCATAAATTGTCCTTTAGCGTTCATCTTTACAAGTCTATAATCATCAGGAAGCAGAAAAAAAAGTCATCTTTGCATTTTATTAAGCAAACACCCCTGAGTAAAGAGGCTGATATCCACTGTCTTCTCTCTTGCAAGTAAGCACGCAGACGCTCAGCATGCCGAAGAACTGAAAAAGAGAGAGTGCACAACAGATTTAGTTTTGCTGTATTTTTTGTTTCAGTCATCAGACTCAATGCCGGTATCTTAATTAGACTTCTTCATCATAGCAAGGATATTTATTTTTTTCACTTAGAAAATACAGCCACAGAAAGTGAATTTTTTTTGCGTATCAATTTCCAATATACATCCACAGAAAGTGACTTTTTTTTGCATATCAATTTCCAGTAATAGTTCCAGCTCAACTTTTCCCTCCCTGGTTTCTCCCATTAATTTATATATCCACATTAATTCCTAGTTACCTTGCTGTGGGAAAAATTTCAGTGAAAGCATGGGGTTATTCTGGACTTAAAATGAGTTCCGCAAAATATTTAAGCATATAAAATATGCAAATAAAGATCGTGCAGAATATGCTAAGGCAATCTTTGGAGACGATCACAGGAGAGATCGTGATGGGAGGGTTCATCACAAATAGTGACGGGACATGTAATGGGAGTGTAGAACTCATGACTTTAATAAAGGGGAAGGAAATTATGGAAATGACGTCACTAAGCAATTTAAGCCCATGAGATCAAATGCTGTAAACAGTCACCTCTCTGCTAGGGCCAAAATTAAGAAAAGGAAAGTTTAACAAAGTCAAGCCCCAGTCCTGAGATGACATCTGGACAGACTTTGGCTTCTGCATTGACTTCAGGAGTCGGGTATTAAACCGTAAGTGTCCTGCACTGGCTCAACTTACAGCCTCTCTTTTATAGAGAGCAGATAATCAAGAAAATTGCTGTTATTAAATGGATCAAATCTCTGTCAACACAGAACAGGTTACTAATCTCGGAGAACAGGTACAGGGAACAATGACAAACCACCAGGCTGAAATTTATGAGTCAAATCTTCACAGAGCTGCGTAGCCATTTTTTCAATGTGCCAATTGCGAGGAGTTTTTCATCAGGACTTTTCAAATCTAGTTTTCACCCACAAGATGATCTGTTTTCACATTTCATTTAATCCAATCTTCTAAGTCTATAAATAGCCCTGCTGGTTTCATTCCTAGTCATTATTTCTCATCCATTTTGATTCCAGGTCTCCAAGCACCGGACTATTCATTGGGTTATATCTAAAAATGAATTTCGATGAGGAGTTTTTTAAATCCCAGTTAAATATAAAAAAGCTGGTTGTTTTATTAAAAAATTCTAGACCTAGGCCTTTTAGCACACCTAGCTTTTTGTACTTCCTACCAAATGACCACAATGGATTCTCCATTGACTTGCCATCCCAAATCCCCTACTAGCTTTTTGGATCCCTCCCCTTATTGTCAGGCAGACGAAATGGGGACAATTGGAAGAAAACAAGAGGAACGGAGGACCGGCTCTACTTCAGAGCCAGAAAAAGGCTGTAGGCTAATAGGACACGGTAGAAGAAAAAGCCCCAAGACCAAGGGGCAAACAGTATTATTTTCCATGAGGGAAGAGATAGAAACGTTTACCTTTACAATGGCAAACCCCAGGATTACAAGCATAGCATAGCTGATAACGCTCTGCAGCCCAGACTCCAGCTCCTCTGCGCAGCCCTGCCGTGAAAGAGAGAGGTGAAAACAAGTTAAAAGACATTAATTCAGCTGGACTTTTTTTTTCCTTTTTTTCTCCCCAATCCTTCAAAGGAAGCAAGACCTTGTAAGGCCTATCTAACCAGCCACTGCGGACCCAAGGGCTTCCATTCTTGTCTTCCGGACCCGAAGGCCTGTTGTTCTCTTTTTCGTTGAGGAGAGGCACTGACAAATCCCAATTCACTGACATTTGCTGCTTCTCAGTCTCCTCTAGCTCAGGTCACTTAAAAGAAGTGCCCAAAACTCAGAGCCAGGAAAACCGGCAATGGTTATCTATAAAAGTCAACTTATGGGCTTGCGCCCTAGACTGAAGAACCTGGTCTGCAGTTCTCCAGATTCAGCATGGTCAGTCCTAGAAGAGTCTCTTCCCCTACCTCGGATCTGTTTGAACAACTACATGCCCATAGCTAGTGCTCCGGCCTTGGCTTCTGTAGCGACATGAAATGGAGGAGCTACCACCAGAGAGACAAGCCCAAACATCCAGACTGGTGCTCCTCCTTCATCACCTAGAAGCTTTTACAGAACTGTATCAGAAGGAAGTTAGAGGAAAACCACAGGGAGAAAAAGGTTGGGGGGACAAATTACTGAAAAGAATTGGACGAAGTTATCTCTAAACCCTGCCCCAGGTGCTTTCCTCATTGGTTCTGCCTGGCTGAGACTGATCGTGGCCCAGCTGTGAAACTGTGCCCTTTATCCTCACCCGTGTATTGAGTTCCTGTGGCTGATCCAGACGCCCCGTGCAGTTCTTCATATCTTGCCTGCAGCAGCTCAGAGGGACGCTGTTGTTACCGGTGGAATTAAACCACTGTGTGGTTGTCCAGTCACTGTAGTTCTTTACCCCACAACAACGAAGCTGCCAAACACAGGACAGTTACAAGGATGTATGAATATATACGAATGCTAATGTTGAGTTAAACCTCTCTTAGGCATACAGAGCAAGAGCTACCTGCAGTATGCAGCAGATACTTCAGGAAAACAGCTGCAGATATAATAGATCAACTCCCTTCATACATTATTACCTCCTTATTGGTTTATTCTTTGTGAAAGCTCTAATATTCAAGTGACAGGTTGCAGGACAGAGTCTTCCTTCATCTTCTTATTTTATGGTACAAGACTCTCAGCAGCGGTTATTCATATGTACTCAGGTGGTCTGATCCAAAGGCCACTCATGTCAACAATGTCATTTGTTTACATTAACTTCACACCAGGAGCCTGAAAAGGCCAACTCTGTCACATGGGGAGCACCCTCGATTGCCTTGGAGGATCAGATGCTAAACACTGCTGCAGAGCCGAGTTCCAGGATATGACCATACCGAACCTCTTCCCCGCCCAAATTTCTTGTTCAGGACCCAATTGTTCTTTTCTAAATAATCCTCAGGACAACTTAAATATTTTCTTACCTGTTCTTGCAAGTAATCCACAACAGTAGACTCTGGATTTTTCCCATCATACTTCTCAAAGACTGCGTGCATTGTGCCTTGCACGTCCGTTTTTACCTATTTAGAGAGGAAAAAAAAAATACATATTGTTTTAACACGAGAGTTAAGAATTTGATCTAGTGGAAACTGCAAAAGATCTGTATTCCATCTAAGTCAGGGGAAAAAAAAAATTTAAAAAGATAAAAATCAAGTGATATTTTAGATAAAATGCAGGTAGCACTTAACCAGAATTACGTTCCTGGATAGAAGCTTGCCTCCCCTGACGGATGAGCCCTCCTTTGTCAGCATCAACAACTGTTTAATCCAACTTAGAGACTGTTGCGATGCCTGCCAGGTACTTCATGTATTCACCATATTCCTGACAAAGACTGATCCACATACCGGATGGCGACATTCCCACTCCCACTTGCCCTGCAGATTGCAGGGCAGGGGATGAAGCGCAAGAAAACTGGATATATTGAAATGCTCTAAGAATGCAAAATCTATTTCTTTACTTTTAGGTTAGTAGAGAGATGCTAATTCTTTGCTTACCTTTTCCCTGTAAACAAATCCCAGGACAAAAGCGGATACTTCTGCAATAAAGATAACCAGGATAATGGCCAAGAACTGAAATTAAAAGAGAGACACCTTAAGGAAGAATTCCAAAGCATTTGAATTCAATTGCACACTACCCATTACATTAACTTACAGTGGTAAGTTATCGTTATCTGTTGTATCCTCCCCAATCAAAAGAGTTTCCAAAAAATAATTTAGAATAGAAGATTACTGTGCACGGCTGGGACTATGACTGTGGGCACAGGTCCTGTTGAGCCGATGCAGGCAGTCTCCTGAACACTGCCATGATGCGATCCGTGTGAAGAGCCTACGAAACACCTCACGAGGCGGCTGTCGCACAAGAGACAGCACAGATAAACCAGCAGCTGAGTTAGGTACGTTGGGCACTGCTTGTTGAGCTCACATCACCTTCAAGGCACGAGTTGGGGGCCCGAAGTTACTCAACATGAACCCTTCTGGCTTTTTAAAAATCGTTCTAGAAGAAGTCGAGGCGCGCTTTCAGGATTCAGAGAACTAAAGTTATCAGAAAAACCAGACAGATACCTGTTTTGCTTGCTTTGGAAATTCACATCTCCTCCCGTTCCCTCACCACCACCTTGCTCCTCAAAACTTGCTACTCTCCACATACATCTCCAGCAAGCTAGCCGAGGCAGAGCCACGAAACTGCCCCCGGCTGTGGGTATTTGTCGTACGAGGCAGTACAACTATTAATTTAGCCTGTGCCTCACTCACCATCAATCAGGGCTTCACAGCAGTACATAACTCCCATGAAGAAGCAGTGCTTCAGCAGTATATTCCAGAATGATCTTTTATTTTCTGTACTGTGCATCTGGAGAAGGTCTACTGTGGCACCTCCCACATCATACAACAGGGTAAAGAAGAGGACATGCAAGAACGTGCAACACTCACCAGCCCTAGACCAACTCGAGACTCCCGGAAGGTAGCACAGCAGCCGATCAACCCAATGATGAACATTACCACTGCAACGCAAATAATGATCACGGCTGGCAACAGAGCATACTTGTCCTGCAAAAAGTTGTCGTAGCTCTTGTAGGTGTTAATGACATAAGCTCCAACATAGCTGAGACCTGCTGCTGCTGCCTGAAATGCAATAAAGAAAGTTATTAGCAGTTATTTATTAAGCATCTGCCCAAGAAAGTAAACACAGACCTTTTGGTAACAGTGCAATTAACATTTCAACTTTAGAAGTAATGACTACATTATGCAAAGATCTAGAAGAAAAAAAATGCTGGGTCTGAAACTAGCTACCCATTCAAACTCTAACGCCGAGAAGAGACAATTCACTTCCCGTGAATCACTCCTCTACTAATGAAGCACCACTTTAGCTGAGCTAAAACACTGGACCCATCGTCCATCGGTCAGTGTCTCTGCAGAGGACCAAGTTCACACTTCCAACCCAAGATCACCTACATCCCACCCAACACTGCATTTGTAGGAATCAGCTTTTAAGATGATCATCACAGGGGTGGGTTATTGGTTTGGGGCTTTTTTTTTTTTTTTTAAGAAAACTCATCCTTTCCTCTTTCACAACAGCAATAACCACTTAAGACAGGCACAAATGTTCCTAATCTCAGCAAAACACAGTCTCTCCTTTTCCTGGAGGGAATAGATTTCTGCAACCTCTAAAATAAACTCTCCTCCAAAAGGATCTTTTGCCAATTGAGGCCAACATACAATGCACCGGTGACAGCTGCCCAACTAGCAGCTCTGGCGACGGAAGGCTTTTATCTGCAGAACTGGGTACAGCCCTGGAAACAACACCAAAAGACTCAGCAGTGCCCTGCCAATGCCTCACCAATGGCATCAAAAAATTCTCTCAAGAGTTACAACAGTTCATCCACCCTTTATAATCCTGCAGCACAAGATGACACCTCTAAAAATGAAGCACCATCCATACTCATGTTCTGGAAACTCGAGGGAAACCAGCCTGTTTGTTTTCAATAGACTACAGCTGGATTTCATCATGCAGCTTATGAGCAGTTCATTATGTCCCCCAGTGCTGTAGGTTTTAATTAAATCAAACACTCCTCACACTGGAGCTAGGACTGGCTAATTCCTTTACCTTGTTTGGCTCCGTCCCCTCCAGCCAGGTCTGGTGCCTGCCCTTTAATTACCTTCATGTGCAGGGGACATCCTTCATTTCAGACAGCTCTCATCCTGCACCACTCTTGCATTCCTGGATGCTGCCTGTACCTCAAAATTACCGGGATCAGATGCACCAGGTGATGAAACCAGGATCAAACTAAGCCTTAGAGTCATTTAGCACACATCATGCAAGATCCTGCTGGGACTCAGATGCAGCAGGTCCTCTACAAAGTGAGGTATCAGGAAAAGGAATAGGATCACCAGTTCTCAAGAGGGTTTTTTTTTTGTAATTCTTCACATACATTGGGTTTTCAGGTGGTGCTAATGATTAAAGCAGTTCCTAACATTTCTTTTAACTTTTCCTCTCATTGAGCAAAATCTCTTTTCCATTTCCCTGTCTGCAGGCATACAGGTTTCTTTTTCTCACCCCTTTTTAGGGATGCAGGGAAAGGATGTCTTCTCACTACACCACCGTGAGCAATCTCACCTCTTCCTCCTCCAACACTATGCTCTCGTACTGAAAGTGGGAGAGGAAAAGTCCCAGGAGTGGCAGCAGCACTAAAAGTGGAGCTGAGGACACCGCATCTCCATCCTGCCTTGACTTCAATTGCACAAAAAGAGCGAGGCGTATGACTCAAAAAGTGCATCCCGTATTTCTGGCTCAAAAAGCTGGATGCACGTGTGACTGTCCACCTATTCTCCGTTCTGCAACAGCATCATCTAGGCAAGGGTAGCCACGGAGAAGGAGGTAACGCTCCTGGGCTAACTATTCATCATCGTGAAGAAAACGTGATGATGGGATTTGCCCGATATATCCTTTATTTCTAATATTTTCTAGGACTATTGAGCACCATGATTTGCCATGTTGACCCCAAACCCAGTGAAGACAATGCAGATTCAGGACACGGGCCAGAGGGGCTTTTATTAACCACAGAAATGCTCTGCTCAGTGGGGCTAGCATCAGCTCAGAAAGCAGCTTATACAGGTCCTAAAAGGGTTCAGAGTTTGGCCCCTGCTCCCATGGAAGCCGTGGAAAACATCTAAGTGACCACAGCAGGAACAGCGTGATGCTCCAGGTTGACTTAAAAACTTCTCCCTACTTTTGCATAGCAAAAAATATTACATGAATAATGCCACAGGTACCATCATAGTCATCCCATCCTGACCGTAACCCCAACGGCATTTGTTGCTGGGTTTTGAAACCTTCCTGGTAAACATGGCTATGGCTGCAAAGTAATGGTATTCTGGTTTCTCAGGTTTTGAGGACATTTCAGGCAGAGGTGCACCATGACTGCCCAGCACACACCAAGTCATAATCTACCACCATGAATATAGACACAACGTGGCGATGCTCCCAGCCACCGTGCTCGTACCCCAAAATCACCGCATCCTTGGTCTCTCTGCTGCTGCCATCACCGCAAACCTAACGTGGAGTCGAGTTATGGCTTTACAAATTCCAGGCTAGAGAAAATACTGCCAGGTAGTCATCCCAAACCAAAAGCGCAGCCGGCCACCAGTAGCACAAAGCCTCCTGCACGTGAATTTTCAAACCAAGCGCTCGTCTCTGGGCATAGCCACTAACGAGACCATTTTTCCTGAGGCCATCAGCCTTTGGTACAGCTCAGCATCTAGGCTGGGATGTCCCACCACAGTTGTCATCAACCGCTGAGTGCCTACAGCCCCAGGAGAAAACCAGAAGGACTGCAAGACCCTCAGAAAGGTTCATGATGGAGGAAGGCAGTCCCTGGGGGAAGGGAGCAGGGGTGACCTGACCACAGGGAAGGTAGCACAGACTGAATAGCCAGGGTACAAAAAGGCACAAACCGTAGTTTTGGCAAGTAAATCAGTTATCTGCATTCAGCAGCAATGTCATGTCAAAACGTGCACAACGGAACAACATTGTGATTTAGTTAATGTGTAAAAGTTCACATGCAAAAGTAGAAAGTGAATTGTTTGTCACATTCAGAGAACGTAAAGCCCTGCTCTTTTGTGTAACTCTGGTCTCAGCCTTTGCAAGTAGTTCTGTACTTCTGAAGACAGTCTAAAGACAGTCTGCTTCATAATTTAATCTTCCTATAGGATGTTTTACACAAAAGAGTCCCCCAATATTTCCATTATCCTTCTGCAAGCGATTTTGATGACAGACACATTCTTCTCTATGTCTATACTTTACACCCGGTTTTCTACCTATTTTCAGCGTGCTCAACACACAGTGCAAAGGAAGCACACAGAGGGAATGGTAAAGACAGACCAACTGTGGGAAACTAAGAAAAACCTTGTTGCCAGCAAAGGGCTACCACAAAATCAAAAAAAAAAAAAAATAGTGAAGCCAATTCACAGAAGTCTCACAAAGCCGAGACTAGCGAAGCTCCACGACAGTAAGCTAACATCAGAGGGTCCAGGGTTGAGTTCAAGGAGACTCTTGCCCAAACTTTACCAATGCAAATATAGACCGGCACTTTCACAGTAGGTTTTATAGCAACACTCAGGATTGTCTGGGTTCTGGTTAGAGACGAAACACAGCCAGCAAGAGGTCTCTTATAATTTCTGAACTTCTGCTTCCAAGCAGAAAAAGGAAGTCTAATGAGGTAAAAATAAAAGACTTTGAGTAAAGATTTGGCTTAAAGGAAGTTCACATTTTTCCCCACAAACTGAGATACAGCCACAACCTCACCCGTGGTTTTTAATTCAAAGTGAAGATTTTGAAGCCTGAAGAGCAAGGTCACTCAGGAGTGGAAGGCATTTCAGCTAACAATCTGTTCCCTGTTTTATTTTTGCAGATGAGTCCCAGAGCCAAACTTCAAAAGTAAAGATGAAAAATATGTCGGAACATAAACCTGAGCTCTCCTCTTAAGCCTTCCCAGTACTTAATGCAATTTCGAAATCTGGTGGAGGGATTTTTCCCCCAATGTTGCAAAACCTTCAGCCCATTCCTAAATCTGAGATGAAACTTCTCCAGAAGAGCAGTACAACAAGAAATGTCCTTTGCACTGCTGAAGACAGACCTTAAATCAAAAGTGTAAAGTGCACCTGATTAAACAGGTTTGTGTTGGGTCTCAAAAAAAAAAAAAAGAATCTTTCACAAATACAAAGGCCACTTTGAGCAATTACTTTTGGGGAGGAAGAACTCAAGTAACTCCTTCATCATTAATCAAACACCTTCACAAACACATCTAAAATTACATACAAGGTTGCCAGGATTATTCCAAGAAATTCACACTAGAAATTGTTAATGTTCTTTACAATTTTCACAGTGTCCTGCTTGGAAGTTTACTTTCAGAAGAATTCAGTGCAGAATAGGATCACGTGATGCCCAACACAGCTGGCAGAAACCCCAGCGCAGGCAGCCAAGGAGTGATGCAAGGCTGATACGGGAGAACCAGTTCACCCAGTCCGTGGGGCTGCCTCGCTACCTGCGCTTTGCTGTGGTCCGCCAGCGACAGCAAGCAGGATGCCCTAACCTTACCCCTTCCTCCCCAAACATCCCCGGCTGACTCACTGGGGCTCCAGGAAACGCTGCTGGTATTTCTTTACGACACTGATGATTCCCATAAGACAAACTGAAGAGATGAGGCAAATGGAAATTTTGCAAGAAAGCCCCTTTTTCACAGCTGAGCGACAAAGCTGCAACCGTCTCTGCCATCTCACCCACCACAGCTCACGCGGTTCAAGGACCTAACAGCAGAATTACTCGCTTTTTCATATCCTCTGCCTCTGACAGAAAGCAGAGATCTTAAAACTGAGTGCGAACAATAAACTCCTTGTTGGGGCTGAGTGAAAAGAAAGCAAAACCATAACAACTGGGTTTTCCCTAGGCTGATGTTTAGGCAGGACGACTCACCAAGTTGACTTCACCCACGACTTCCACACTTAGCCCAGCCAGTTGAGCCGGGGAGGCAGCTATACAGTGATGCTCTGCTCCAGGAACCTGTATAACAAGGTGGAACTCTCTCCAGCCACATAATGCACACACGGCACCGTGAATATTCAGCCTTGCCCGTGAAACAGAAGGGGACAGGCCTGGATGGCTGTAAGGAGCCTGAGCTGTCTCACTGATGCGAAACAGGACAGCCGTTGGAAAATAGTAGATTTTATATATATTTTTTTAAGTATTATGTTGATGACCATGAGCCCCTGCCCTTCTAGAGAGATTTATAGCCATGTAAATACTTCACGACACTTTATCAGCATCACAGCCATAGAAGGGGGCTCTTAAACTTCCCTCTATACAACTGCTCTGAAAAAGAAAAAAAAAAAAAAAAAAATAAAATTTGCATCTATCAGTCAGGCAGAACAGATACTTTTCCACCTTCCCTTCTTTGTTTTAATAAATTGACCTTACACGATGGCTGGGAACAGAGGTTTGTGTTCATTTCAATTTATCAGCCTAGGCTTCTTTGTTCCCTGCCAAACCTAAATAAAACACAGTAAAGGAGCCAAACTCGTAGCTATGAAATTAAAAGGCAGTGTTTGTTGGTTTGAGGTTTTGTGGTGGGTTTTTTGAAGGTTTTTCCCAGCTTCCTCCAATTTCACAGTGTTGATTTGATCACTTGGTCCGTTAATGTGGAGCGCTATAGGATCTTCTTCTTAAAAGGCTGGTGAGTTAAATACAGAGTAACAAAGCTAGAGTGTT